GACGAAACTGAGCAACTCCCAAAACGACTTGTAGGCTACATAACATAACCTATACTTAATAGAATGGGCAGTGGCGAACGAAACGTTAGTAGGCCTATAATCCTAGTAATCATCTTCCAGAAATAAATTTACCATATTTTGTAAACTTACTGCCGGTATATTGAGGACGGCGTAACAATTAGGAGGGCAAAGACTATAAGAACATGCATGTACTGGTCAGAATTTCAGACAGGACTGATCTAGCTTAGTAAAACAGAGGCTTATTTATTTGAGTCTTCCATTATTTTTCTGCAAATTTTACAATAAAAAAACTAAAGAGATTTTGGAATATGACAGGTGGGAGTTTGACATTTGAATGTGTATCTTCATCAACCCACAATGTCTACTGAGGAAAATAGGCCTACTTGAAGCTCCTTATTTACCGTCCCGTTACATAAACCAAGCCGTAGCGAGCCCAGTCAAAATCACAACTGGGTTTGAGATACGAAGTACATTGACGCAGACAATATTATTCGTGGCCGATAACCCTGAAGCAGATGAAGTGGCTTCAAATGGCGTGATGTTCATTGTAAGTTCATCACAATATACTGACATTTTCAACGCTTATTAACACAGTCACTCAGACACGATGCTACAATAAACCTGTATTTACTTTTAATGTGAGAGAGAAAAATTAATTCCAATGAAACATTTTTGATTAATTTAATTTGACTGGACCGAGTCAGGATTTGGTCTAGTGACACGTTTGTTAGCAGGGCGCTATTCACTAATCTCCGTCCCTCAAAGGAGATTTAGAGTTTGAACTTCCTGAAAAGTACCACCAGCCTCCCAGTTCATTCCATGTTTAACATGGATTTATAAAGAATTAATCGCCTCTATTTTGACCCTCCTAATTACTCGAGGAAACCATTGGCGCATGAAACTCTCGGTACAATTCCAGACCAGAAGCGCACCAACAGAGATCATGCATGCAGCAACCACCGACTGCTCGAAACATAATTTCTAGATGTGGTAGGATATGATTCGTGCAATGAAGTCCTCTCGAGAGACCAGCCTCGGTCGATACAGACGACGTATCGACACGAATGCTAGTTTTCAAAAACCTTCAATTTGTGTTATTCCTTTAATATGAAAGACAAAGTTCCTCTCACATTCACACAAACCATCGATTTAACATTTTAATATATGATGACAGAATAATCTAAAATACTCAGAAATTTCTGCATGCCTATAAGTACATATACCTGAAGAAATATTACAAAGAAAAGTGTTTCTCCTTGTTCTATTTATACAGCACGAAACACTTTTTAACTGCTTACAGAACTGGTTATAATCCATTCTGTAAACAAATGACGTCCATTTCCACACGCATAGATGAAATGCATTACCGAGTATAAAACGTTTGCTGTTCACGCCGTTTGGTCGCCTGCAGCGGTTAAGTAGACACACATTTCAGCTGCTAAAATTTGCATTTTCCTCTTCTCTTATTGTCCAAATTTCCGATCTACATTGCACAAGAGCAACCAACTGCCATCATCAATGTTTCACGATTCAGTAACTGAATCCAGTGTACTGAGAGAAGTGTCACTGAATTTTATGGTTTGCTGGGAAAAGGGGTTATCGAGTTTTGCGTAAAACCTGTGCAGAACTCGACTCCAGAGCCACTTCAGTTGCATGTAAATGTTATATTATTGCCGTACTGAAAAATGTAGCATGTCGTTTCTTTACGGTACCATATCCTTTTAGCCTCAACGATCTTAAGATTGCCGATTCATAGTTTATTATTAACGCTGTCTCAATTGAAATGGTTACAAAGTGGCGAATTAAATGGGAAGACGATCATGAGTAATGAGTACATTAAGGTTCGGAAGGAGACAAACGTGGCTTATTTAAAGGTACTACTCCATTATCTCAGTATGATTACATGTTTTATTTATTTTTATGAATAGAGACAAACCTAACAGTTAAATAAGCTTCTACACGAAGTTCCAACCATAGATTTACAATGGAGCCTCAATCTGTATTTTCCAAATGTGTTTGAATTACTATTCCCATATTTACCTCAAGAGAAGTAATGTTTAAACGTTATTGTCCGTTAGTACAATTAAGCTACTAATATGGGCGCATTTCTATAAGCTGTAAACAAACGATGTAGAATTTAAATACATAGGGTTATAAAAAGGATTAAACAAGTATGTAGACACCGGAATCGTATATTCGGTTACCGGTAACCGGAAGTTAAAGTGTACAGGGAAGAGAAGCCCCTACACAGTATTGAAAACCAACACACGAAATTAGCTACCACTATAGCGTGTTAATATAAGCCACTGAAACAATAGGAACAGTAAAACAATTCTGCCAAAATTACAAAGATGAGCTGGATGGGAGAGAGTAGATATTACAAAAGAGATGCCTGTTTATTCATCTGAATACATTAATCACTTTATCTTACGTTACAACATTGCTGCGTGCAAAGAAGTTGTACAACTATGGTATTTGGAAATCTAGACATCAGGAATGCGTAAAGCAAACTAGCAACTCGCGATTTCCTTTTTAAGTTACGCTCGCTTTTAAGTTTAAAATGTAAAACTTCTTGCAAACAACAGAAGTTACTCATTTCACTTCAAATAAGTGACCATGCAATTAAATATTCCTGTTGAGGAGGACTATACTAGTAGTTTTATTTTACGTGCAATTTATATGTCTCTAGAAACACTTTTATAAATTATCTGTTCAACTACAAGGAAATTCCATTGCAATCTGTACGAAACGATTGATTGATTGATTGATTGATAAACCCCATTAAGTTACAAGTCCAAATAACATTTTGGAATATACTGGTTAACCAGAAGTTATGTAAAGACAAACCTGAGGGCGATGTGTTCAAGAAAATACATCGATTAAATATTACGGATTTAAAACAATTTTAAAAGATTCATTCTTAAAATTGCGAACCTAACTGTTGAGTCCAACTCATCAGCATTTAAAGCAAGAAATACTTCGATTTCCAGCCGAAACTGAATTCTGAATAATATTTGGAATTCAGTTCTTAGCTCAAGGAAAGCCCCACACTTCTCCGTTAAAAAAATAAAATGGTTATTGATGTTTAGAGGAGTAACTTCTGTTCGCCCTGAGAATAATACGAAATTCATAAATGAACTCTCGTCAAAATACAATTGGTACAAAATTTTCACTCGGCATTTCACGGCTAATTCTTACCACATATTTCACTTTAAAATACCAGATCACTACACAATATTTCAAAAGTGCTTACATAAATGAAATATCATAATACAACGTTTTAGCAAGCAAAGTCCCTCTGCCGACGCCAAATTACTTCAATATCTAGTGATATTATTAAACTATAATTAGCATCTACTGTTCTGCACGGACTAGTCTCACGTCCAGTTACCCTGATACGGCTGATAACACCAAGAAAATCGAACGCACCACAACAAATATCACAGCAACATATGTGTATTACAAACTCGTACACAGCCGCAGTAGTGAGATCACCCTGTCTCGAATGCGGGTCATGTCCATGCTTGGATTTGAAACTGCAGATCGCCTGCCACGTGCAAGGATAATGTTTACAGAACCATATACAAACTGATCCTGATCTCTAATAACGGTCTTACCTATAGACACCCTACCGTATTCCCGACATTAGCGGCACATATCACATACGCCCACTAATAGTGCCCCTTCTTATAACATACCATGGACTCTATTTCGTTACACATGAATGCATGTGATATAAATTTCATTTTAATTTCTGTGTTCCCTGAAATTGGAATGGAAATATGAGAAATAAACAAAACATATTTGTTAAAAACACAAAGGAAAGAAAACAATTATGAAGTCTAGGCGTGCATGTGAGGATAATATTACAGCGATATTAAAGAAATATAGCTCAGGTTTGGGTATTCGAGAACATGGTAGGCTTAATGAACCACCGCATTTTGTAAAAGGCAGGATACTTGTTTGTTATATAAAAGGTAGCATATTTGTTTACGAGTTTATATAGAATCACATTCTAAAGAAATATTCCGTTCCATGCAGTTAATGAACGAACATTACAGAAACATTTTGATTGACACTGTCCATTGTATGATATTTGATATGTATATCAAATATACGGTAGACAATGGACAATGACCTACATAATGTTCCTACAATGAATAAACCATCAAATTCATTAGTTATCGAACAGAGTTATTGTACGTTAGCATACAGAGTGTGAGAAATTCCTTTCAATCTCGGTCATGGAATCAGCATCGTGAACTTACACGAGAAGATAAAGATTTTCTTGTATGTTCAAATTTTGTCAGACAGAAAATATAATAGATCAAGAGCGAAATACACAAACATGACAAGAAAGTCTTTCCATATGTTCCGAAACGAAACACTTAAAAAATTTTGGACAAGAAAACAAAGCGTAATACGGTACAACCGAACAGCATGCCATTAGCACCAGCGAACTTATACGATCATTACTAATGAGTTACGCCATATTTATTTGAAAAGGACATAATTTATGTAATGCAATTCTCTTGAGCTCAGCGTGGAAAGAATCACTTACTTCCTAGTACAATGGTAGATAATGAGAAAGTATGGGTTACTGCTGCCCAATGTATCCTCAGATTCAGACCTGTTTCAATGCGACAGAACTGAAAAATGGTACTTCATTTAGACAGAAAAAACTTTTCGTGTAGGCCTATCCCTCCAAGTTGAATTGAATAAATTGCTACGACAAACACAACACATTTTACTAATTAACAGAAAAAAAGCTGTATGTAACAAAATAAAGCAACTGTTTCATTATGTACATTAAATAATTAATTCAAATTTAGGACTTGAAGTTCTCACGGTGGTGAGTTTGAAGAAGGCTGTCTTCTGAGTTTTTGCGCCATGTAATCTGGTAGAAGTTTACCGACGTTTCAAAGGTGCTTGCTGTCTGCATTATCGGGGCGATTTCAATGTCCTGATGATCACTTTTGGGATTCTCCTTTCAGAAACTGGCACGGTAGTACTTTGAAAATAGCCATGATGGCTTCCATTTCATTGTACATTTGGCATAAGAAACTTGTGTTCGTATTCGGAAGCTGAAATTGTAAATGCAAAAACCACGATTTCATAAATCGAAATGCAACTGACAAAAGAAAACACTATTGTAACACAATAAATGAAAGAAATATTCGTATTTACAACGATTTTAAATCAGTTTACTTAACGGGAAAGATAAATAATTTTTTTCTGAGTGCAAAAATGAAATACAAAAATATTTTTACAGAGAAAAAATGCATGTAAGCCCACAAGCTTTGGTCTCGATAAACAATATGAAGGTAACTATATCGTACAACCACGAAACGTAAAAAATTACACTTTTGTCAGCTAAACGTATTCATATGTATTCAGCATTGTAGCTAGCATACAAATTAATCAGAAATATGTTTTAATAAGTGTTTAAAATGTTGATAGCGTATAGCGCTGCTCAACTAGAAAGAAATTAGTATCACGTTCATAAATTACACCTCGTATAATATCTGAATTAATATCTTTATCCCGTGTTATAAAAGCGCACATAATGAAATCAGCCATTCAGAAACATTGAAAACAAAGTTTATTCTTCTTATTCGAAACGTCAAAGAAAATTACTGACGCAAAAATATCGACAGAGTATTAAGGAGTTAACTGTTAGGTCCATAACATTATGCATTCTTCGGTAAAGAAAAGAACACAAAGTCGCTGAGAGCTCAACTGACACTAGGAAGTAAAACGTAATTTAACAGGTTTAATATAAAATGTTTCTTCTCGCTAAATATAAAGTATGGTTCTATATTTAAATTTCTATATTGTAATTTGTTGTTTGTTTTCTATCTGAGATAACAAATAAACAAATTAACAGCTGCAGCACGTTTGGTACACTGGGAAATACATAATTGCAAAGTTTCACCTGGCTACGACATTGCGAACGGGAATATATTACTAGCTTTTCGTTTGTTCACTCATCCATTATGGTAGATTACTAAGATACGCATTATTTAACAGTGCACTGTACTAGGATGTCTTCTAATGCCATTTTTATCAATTAATAATAACATTTTTCGGTGTATTTTACAGATTTTTGGCAATCTAAATTGAGGCTTGCTATTAGTTCAAAGACAACCAAATTACAAATATGGCTGATGTAAATAAAAAAAATGGCACGAAGTTAATTTATAATTATTAGACCTGCGATCTATTGATGACAATTGTGTAAGATACAGAGAAGAAGCCAATCAATTTGGGTCAATACACTTACAGACCAGGTTAGGTTTACTTACCTTCGCCAAAGATGATTAAAAACGTCAGCACAGATGGTCACGTGACATGGAGAAAAGAACACAGTGCCGAAGTAATTGCTAGAGATCTGAAGATGTGTGTGAGTTCATAGAAATCTATACTGTGACGCCGAGACTCGTTCTGGTGAGATTCCATTAATCAAACTGTTACTTGGTTCTGAATGTCCCCTTTCTCCTGTGATGATTAATTATGACAGATTATCGACTTCAGGAAGGTGTATGTTAGTCAGTAACCACATATATACAGAAAGTTTCGAAATTCTATTAAAAAGGAGAAGAAGACAGAAAGGACTTTATTTTAAAAGTAATTTTCATTCTTCGCTTAGACAAAAACATGTTGTATTTTAATACACTTGACTGATGGTCACCGATTCATTGATTTTAGGTGAGTATTGAAGGACAAGCATTCACAAAGAAAGATGGAAGGAAAGAAAGAAACAAAGGGCAGAAGAGATAAAAAATAAAGGAAATTAAAATGTGTGGTTAAGTTAACTGTGATTGGACTCCTACCGTTTGGATCCCACAAAACGCTCAAAAAAATATCTCTAATACTATTCTACTTGTATCCCGCAATTAGGTTGCTTATTTAATAAGTGAGCAGAATTTGTAAAAAAATTTCGTTTAATATGTTATACAGCTGATAGATATTCCACTGGAGGAGATGGCAAAATCTATATTACACACCCTGTCGTTCGAGTTCTGGGCCACTGTTTAATGTAAGGGGCGGTGATGACGGACATACCAGAGGGTGGAAATGATTTAAAGACGAGTCATTTACTCCTCCAAAAGTCATTGCTTGGAAGAGATTTCGGGAATCTAATAATCCAAATTTTCTCAAGACTGTGAATTTGACGCACAGTCCGTCACTTCAACAACTACTCGGACAAAAGACGCTATAATAATGTGTGTGACGGAGTAGAATTTTAAGTTTTTTTTTGTGATCTTAAAATTCATATCAGTTATACACATCATATGTCCTGTAACACGATGTAAGCGTATTCGCAAAATGTGAGGTGAAAGAGATACGGAAGTATGCGATCGAGGTTCAATGTCAGGTAACATCACACGGCCTCAGTCGGAATATGTAACCTTAAAATCGGCTACGCTTAATTCAGTCTTATAACATAACGACGAAGCAGCATAAGGTTAATTCGATGACATCGTTAAAAAGCGTGACAACAGCGAGGAGCCTGTAACAGGCGAGGACTGTACTGACTGCAATGCGGAAGAAGTTGCAGTGATTACATCCAATTAAGATGTGGAGATGATGATAACTTAAGGAGAGGACTAACAAACAGAAGTAACTTTTATGCTGAAATTGAAAGCAATGTAGGCTCGAAGTATACATTGTCATTCAGTTTAGAAAACTGCATATTCACATGAGTCCTCAAATATGATTTTTATATTACATGAAACGCTTTACAGAATAATAACCTAAGACGCACAGACTTCTATAATTCCAACAGCGTCACTGCTTCTACGTCACGGAGAAACAGGACTTGGACTGGATGCAGTTCTCTCTGAATACGGTCCAATATTTGGCTTTTGTAAGAACGGTTATGAACTTTAGGGTTTAATAAAAGCTGTATATTTCTTGACCAGCCGACGATTTACCACGTTTTCAAGAAAGACTATGGGTTATGGCAATATAATAGGACACAAGAATAGTACAGAACTGAAAGTACTTTTGTATTAACGTGAAACACGTTTCATGGACACCACGTTTATGCGTTTGAAAACTTCCGTTAAAACACAGTGAATATCTATTTTAAACCATTTCTTTCTGAGTAACCACTCTCCCTAGCTCCGTTCGAGAACCCTTTTTGCAAGCTAACTCATTAAAAATGTGCGTCTACCTAATAAGAAATGGTGGCTGTTACGGTATGTCGTGTTTCTCGTTTATTTTCATTTTAGAGACAACCCTTAGTAATAAGCGACGCTGCGATGACACTAAAAAAAAAATGTTACAGTGAAATCAGTATTTCACGCACGGAAATGTAGAGCACTTCGTTGATTCGTATGTATGGAAATGTAATAAGTAAGTTCAACTAACAGAAACATGTCTGCAAGAGTGATGAATATCTCATTTGTTGGTGGGCCAGTTGACTCTGGCCGAAATAATAACTGTACGGTCAACTATCTGGATAAACAAATTCAGGATTAAACACAATCTCAACTTATTACAGCAGTCTTTGAATGTTCTGTCTCTAGAATCCAACGTTTAATAGCTTCAATTAAAAATCCCACAGTAAAATCTTTCTGAAACATTCAATTCTAGATAATTTCACATCTATGTTTTCATAATGTTTTACCGCTCGATGTATATTATACACTGTGTACATTTTATTTGAAAAAATTTGTTTATGTTAAATAAGAGTCATTTGAGGTCACAGAATAAGATATGTCATTTTGTATATTACCCGTAGGTAATGCAAAGTACAAGTCTTAATGCTGGAGCAAAGCGTGCTATTCCCCCTTGCTACTAGTATGATTTGAAGCTACTGTCACACAGTCCCAGGATTAGAAAGCGACCTCATTTTTAAAATTAGATCTGTCAAAAGTCCTAACCATCACCATTATTTTGAAGAGAAATTGAATTCTCACGCATGGGAGGGGTGATATCGTTTCCTTCTTTACTGATTCGTTATTAATGGTAGTTCGTGAGGACGATACATATCAAGAGCCTATGTATTGTTTCTCGGAATCAGTTCGTCATTAGAACCAAGCTGCTGGCCTCATCGATGATTGCTAATACATATACAATATGTACACGTCTCTCTTGAATATATCTGTCGTTTTTGTACTGTACGTACATAAAGGCAATACACAATAGAAGTGTAATTAGTGCATATCACCACAATGCATATAACATGAGGAATCCAGTCTCATGTCAGAAGAATCAATATTTATGTTTGCAATACAGGATTACACAGATTGTTGTTACACTTCGTGGTATCCACAGATTTATAACTTCTAGGTTAAGCTGCTTAAACACTTTTGGAGGATTAATTAACCTTGTGACGCATTATTGCTACATGCTTATAAGTTGTGGAATATACTTACCATGTGCATTTGTATGTATCAGTGAATACTGTAAATTATAAGTTACCCAGTACCTTATTTTCATTAAAGATACAGATGAAATACATTATTATAATATATCAGTAAACGTTTATGACGATTTTAAGCGAAACAATTTAAAATTTTATCTTTAAACGTCCATAAATTCTTTTCTAATCACCCATTATGTTATGTATTATCTTTAGTCTTCATTTATTATTAATAATGTGGTTTGGCGCTTGATTCCTGGTTCCAAAAACTGGGATTTTCTTGGAATTCCTCACAAAAGCCTTCGTATAATACATTCCATAAGGCATGACTGACGGCAAGACACATCACTGAACACCTTAATAATAACGTTGAACTTTCCCACTGCGTAGCTGTTCCTTCGGAATGTGTTTTTTGTTCGTTTGCTTGTTTGCAAAGAAGAAGAATAACAAATTAAAGCACAAAGAAGTGTGACAGTGTAAGGTAAAAGCCCGGACGTTACATTTCCCAGAGTCCATCGCGGTAGGGGAATAAACTTACGTTTTGAAAGAATGAGTTCAGAATTCTAATGCTTTTCGCGTGTCTCTATGGAACTCTAATAGGATGGGAATTCGCTGCGCCAGTGAATCCAGAAAGAGAGTGATTCCCGGAAAAAGGCTGCAGACAGACGAGAAAACGGGGAGGAGGTACCTATACAAACTATGTGATGTTATAAGTGTGTTTTGAGACATACGTATCTCCAAAATGTTATTCCTTAATTGTATTCACTTTATAAAATATTACGTCCAACGACCTTTGCTTCTCTCCTTCGCTAAGTGAAAGTTAAAACAATAATGTTCATGTTCACAATCTTACATACATTTCTTCCTAATTATTGCTGCAGATTAATTATTTTACACGTTTAACTTAATTATAAAACAATTAATTGCTATATGCCGTATAAGACACCGGACTGGAAGTCTAAACTTGATAACAAAGGATGAAAAGGAGATATGTTGGTAGAACGAGAAAAAGATGGTGCGTTCAAACAGTATAACTGAAGTAGGCTGAAATCTCACTTTCCGCCAATTTGATAAATGATATTGAAGACAACAGTTAGTGAAAATGTGAACTGGGATAAAAACTACATCCTTATGAAACAAGACAAATGTGGCGATAAGTCATTCTTTCTGGTGCATAGGCCATATCTACACAACCGGGGTTCGAATACCGGCAGAGCAGAATTTCGTCACAATGTCCAGAATGGCTCTGGGACCCACCCCGTCTCCTATCCTTTGGGTAGAGTAATACTTTTCTCTGACGTAAAGCGTCCAAGGTGTGAAGCTGTGTATTCACCTCACCCTGTGCCGAGGTTTAAGAATGTGTGGATCTGTATATCCATTCTCGCATTCGTCTGCGTGGCGTGGTGCTTAGTTCAGTAGCACGGACAACGTTGCAAAAAAGGAAATCGGAGAAGAAGAGTTTCCTGACAGCTTCATAGTTTGACGTTCGAGGGAGATCCTCAGACACAGAATACATTAAACAGTGATTTTATTACACACCTGTTGTTAAAGTCTAGCTCGAAGAGTACACACACTAAAGAGTCTGTACATCATGTACTTATGCTCCTGCCCAAAGGACTTCATCACAGCATATAACAGCAAAGCAAGCAGCAGACACGCTCCATAAGAAACTGTTTCATTCTGTTACGACTCTCAGAATCTATTATGCTCCTTTCGGGCGGTTCTCGATGCCTACATAAAATGTTAATGTGTCTATAAAATGACAAACAGAATGTGTGATTTCAAATAAATCTGACATTGTAGCCATTAAATTTGTTACGCTAAACTGAATGTCTACATGAAGGCGTCTCTGCCTACATGGGAATCAGTCTTCTGATGGAGATCGTAAAGGTCAGATCAACGCCATGGAATAAATCGCTTTAGAGCTGAGCCCTTCAAAAGCAACTTAAGTCTATTTTACGTCATTTGTATACTTCGTGTCTCTCACACTTGGGACCCTGTATGATGTTGAAATGAAGAGAAATGAGCTACTGACTAAAATCTCCATTTTGTATTATGAGTGGGTCAGACAGGTTCTCTGAGGAAAATAATTGTTATTTTACACGAACAATCTA